GCCCCTTGCTTCCAAACCCATCCCAAGATGGCGGGTGAGTGGGGCTGGGCTGTGGGAGCGGTGGGCTGCTCCCTCCTCCCTCCTAGGGACGCTAGGGACCCGCCGACTTCGGCCATCCGCAGCCTCCCCTGCAACTCCTGTGTGTTTCTTGGTTTTCAGAGATCCCCCTGTACTTTGTGGACTTGCAGGAGGACTTAGACGACTGTAAGTATCAGTTGGGATGATCCCGCTCCTTCCTGTCCCCCTTACAGAACTGCAGGCGCGCAAAGCGCGGGGCGTGGAGCCACGGCCCCTGCCCTGGAGTAGGAACCTCAACGGCCGCACCCCCACTGCCTGCTGTGACTTGTGGCGGTCCTTCCTCACTGGCGCTGAGACGAGGAGCGCTCTCTTGGGGCTTGGGACTTGGGCTGTTCTTGGGAAACTTCGACTTCCTGTCACTGTCTTCTTCCCGGGCTAAACTGGCTACACCGGGAGGGGGAGTCCTGGGTCGGTGCCCTGCAGCGGGAGGAGGGTGGCTCCCATCCGTGGTCCTGGTCCTACTCCTGGGACCGGTAAGGAGGCAGTGCACTTTGGGAGGTCGCTCCTCTATGGCTGGCCAAGGTTTGCGTGGACTCCTCAGGGTCAGCTCAGTCCATTGGCCCCTCATTTATTTTCTTTTTTTTCTTCTGAAGTTTATTAGTGCACTTTATGTATATAATACAGTTACATTCATCATTGGGATCTTGTACCTTTACGTGATGTATCTTGGTTCTTATTTTTTTCTTATTCCCCTGCCCTTCACCCCATCCACCCTTCCCTGTTTACAAAGACTTTGTTTCCATTTTTTTCCTTTTCTCATATTTTTTAATTTCCCTTCTTTCCTTTCCCCTACCCCTCCCACTTTCCCTACTCCTTTAGATCTTTTCTTCCTATTTCACATTATCAGTTATACATTTCGATCTTTATTTACATTTTTAGTTTTCCACACCAGAGAAACTATTTGGTATTTACACATGTGTGTCCTATTTATTTCACTTAAGAGATGGCCTCAGTGTGCATCCATTTAGCTATAAATGACTCTAGGTTCTCAGTCTTTATGGCTCAGCAGTACTACATTTTATAGAAAAACCACATCTTTATCCAGTCTCCAGTTGATGGGCAATTGGGCAGTTTCCAATACAAACTGTGCCACTATAAACATGGGTGCACATATTTTGCTGTGATATGATTCTTTTAATTCTTTTGGAAAAATACCCAGCAGGGGGATATCTGGGTCAAATGGGACTTCTAATCCTAGTTGTTTGAGATATCTCCATATTGATTTCCACAGTGGTTGTACCAGTCTACACTCCCACCATCAGTGGAGAAGGGTTCCTTTCTCCCTACAACCCCACCAGCATTTGTTATTGGTTGACTTCATGATAGCAGCCATTCTTTCTGGGGTAAGGTGGAATCTCAGTGTGTTTTCATCTGAATCTCTTGAATGACCAGTGATGTTGAACATTTTTTCATATGTTTATTTGCTGGTTTTACTTGTTTGAGAAATGTCTGTTCATTTCAGATGCCCATTTTTGAATGGGGTCTTTATATTTTGGGGGGTCTGATTTTTTAAAGTTCTTTATATATTCTACATAGTTCTTTATCTGAATAACAGCTGGAACCCACTTGTAGGTTGTCTCTTAGCTCTGTTGGTTTCTCTTGCAGTGCAGAAGCTTTTTAATGAGACCCCAGTTGTTGATTCTTTGTGCTAGTTCCCATGCTACTGAGGTTTTGTTCATAAAGTCTTTTCTGTGCCAATGTCTTCCAGAATTCTACCTAATTTATCTTCCAGCAAGTTTTCTGTTTTAATATTTAGATCTTTAATCCACTTTGATTTTAGTTTAGTGCATGGCAAAAGATAGAGGTCTAGCTTTAATCTTTGGCAGGTTGAAATCCAGTTTTTCCAACATCATTTATTAAAGAGGCTATCTTTCCTCATGAGGCTATCTTTCCTCCAGTGAGGATGGTTGGCTCCTTTGTCAAAGATCAGGTAGCTGAGTATGTCTGGAGTTGTGTCTGCATCTTCTAATTTATTCCACTCATCCTTAGGTTTGTGCTTTGCCAAGTACCGTGCTGTCTTTATCTCAGTTTGCCCCCTCATTTCTTGGGTGGGATTTTCCTCTTTCCCCTTTCTGCCCTTACCTTTTCTTTTTTTTTTCTTTTCTTTTTTCTTTTTTTTTTAAATTTTCTTGAGACAGCTCTAGAACTCACTGTGCTTCCTAGGCTAGTCTCGAACTCACAGCAATCCTCCTGCCTCAGCCTCCTGAGTGCTGGGATTACAGGCGTATGCCACCATGCCCGGCTTGCCCTTCCATTTTCTTTGGAGTCATTTTAAGGACTAATAGCTGAGGGAGATGTCATCCTCAGAATCCTGGGAATACAAATGCCTCTTTGTAGTGAATGTAGTTCCTATCCATTTAGCAAACATTTTGAGCACCTACTTTCCCCAGCTAGGATATGTGTTAGGCCTTACAAAGATGAATTAGAAACATTCACAGGTCGGGGAGACCAGAGATGTCACAGAAAATTACCAGTCTAGGGTTTTTTTGTGTTGTTGTTTTTTTTGCTGGTGAAGAAGGCCTATATATATCACCAAAACAGCTAACAGTTATTTGGGGCTTCCTGTGTCCTAGTCAAGTGTGGTACTTCCTCTCATCTTTTCTTCCCCATCTGCCAGTTTCCTAATTGGGAGAGTTAGTGTTCACTGAAAAGATAGTATAGACAAGGGACTGTTAAACCTTTTACCTTGTCTCTTTTAAGAGAGGGGCAGTTTTATTAAAGTAGCATGACACTTGAAGGGACAAGAGAAGTCAGTGATTCCGCGTCCTGGTTCTGGAGTTAGATGACTGTGGGTGGAATTCTGTGTCACTCCATACTGGTAGTGTGATCAGTCTAAGCCTCAGTGACCTTGTGTGTTCAATGGGTACAACAGCATACCTCAAGGAACTTTGTAGGAATTAAATGAATGAATAAAGGATAACATGAAGCCTTGGGCATAGTGAACGCTCAGTAAGCAGATGCCATTATTATTAGTATGATCATTACTAATAAGTGTTTGACATTCTTGAGCCAGGTACAGTGTAGGCCCAGTCATGGAGCTGAATGTTCCATCTAGTGCACACCCTCAGATCAAAGGAAAGAACTATTTCCACTGTGTGTTAAGTTGAGCTGCAGTCAAGGTGCCTCATTTACAGATTTGATATTTGGCCTAGCTAGAAAAGCTGTTTCTAGCTGTTTCGATTATTGCAACAACCCCAGCTCAGTGGCTTCAAAGCAACAGTATTTTAGTTTTTTCTTACAGTTCTGTGGATTGACTGAATGGAGCTCCTGCTTAAAATCTTCTCAGCTGGGAGTCTGATAATGTAGATGGTCCAAAAGGGCATCTTTCCACTAGTGCCTCCAGTCCTGGAGATCTGTGGGACTATAGGTGCCCTTTCCACTTGGCTCGATCAGCCTTGTCATGGCCTAGTGGCCATAGGGAGTGGAAGATTTTGCTGGCAGCTAGCTATGTTTAGGCCTATTTATTTATTTATGTGTGTGTATGAAAGGGAAGTAAGAGATTATATAGAAAAACAATTATGATTTTTACTATGACCCTATTTGAACAAATATTAAGTCTGTGGGACTTGTAATAAAAAAAGGCTTAAATACTCTTTGAGAAGACTGAAGACTTTTCCTAATAAGGAAGAAAACCATCATTAAGGATCTGAACATAACCATACCTTGAGTAGGACAACTCTGGGAACCTCATGGAACTTCTGGTTTGGGCTGGACTGGGAGCTGTGAGGTACTGCATCTTGCCACGTTGCAGTATAGTGATGTAGGAGCCATAATAAGAGGCCCCCCTACCCTAATTTATGCTGCCTTAGGTCTCACCTTACATGTCACTGTGGTGGTATTTGGAGGCATTATTCACACCATCATTGACATCAAGAACTAAAGTACTGTTACTCACTTCTTGGCTCTGTGTTAGCTTGGGTGGATCATTCACCCATTCTGTCAATTTCTTTGTCTGGAAAATGGCATAAGAATAGAAGAAGCTGCATTATAGGATTGGCATTGGGATCAGATGGATACCATGCAAACCATTTTAGTTCACTGTCTGGCATTATCAATGTGTATTGTATTCAATACTTTATATTCATCATTGATGCTGCATTTTCATATAAAATATTCTGGTTCAGCATCAACAGCTACTACTCTGCAAGGTAGGGTTGAATGATAAAACTGAGAATCAGGTTAAATAACTTACTAATGTGGCACAGTTCATAAATGGTACAACTGACATATTCTGTTGCTTCTTACTCTTGTTCTTTTTATTTTACCATCCAGATCAACTTTACAAATACTCTTTAAAAAAAAATTTTTTTTTTAGTGTTTTTTGTTGAGATAGGGTCTTACTATGTAGTTCAGACTGGCCTGGAACTCCCAGTGATCTTTCTACCTCAGCATCCCGAGCACTGGGATTCTAGAGTGCTGCAGTTGTACGTGTTTGCCTCAACCCCTTGCTCTGTTCTGTTGTTTGTTTTTGTTTTGAGATGAGATCTTCCTGTGTTGCCTAGGCTGGTCTCGAACTCCCAGACTTAAATGTCCCCCATTCCCTACCTTCAACCTCCTGAGTAGCAGGGGTTACCGATGTGTGCTACCAAACTTGGGTACAAATATTCTTAACATAATGTTTGGGGCATGGATGTCAGTTTGGGTGGTTCTTACTGCCTGTTGTCTCTTTGGGCATTTTTGTCTAAATGACGCAATACTTCTTGGTTTAGTATGCAAGTCCCTTTGGGCAGGGACACAGGGCATTCTTTTTATTATTCAATGACCTGCATGATCTAGGTGCTTAGTTAATGTGGTTACTGTTAACAATAATGGATTCCTAGGCTTGTCTGATTTACTTTGTGCTTCTTGATTAAGTTTGGCTAATTTCAAAAAGAAGCTGTAATGAATGAATGCCTTGTTTTTTTAAATCATTCAGAGTCTTCAGGCCATCGCAGCACAGAAAAGATTTAATTTTAGAGAATTAACTTGCTAAACCAATCTAAATTCCTTCTCTTGAGAGCAGAGAGTATGGGGGATGGCTTGGCATATTAGTTTTTTTACGGGATTGTATGTTGAAAGTAGAGCTCAGAGTATGCCTAAGGGTCTTGAGGTCTGTGAATGTCTGGATTCACTTAAAACAGATGGAA